ATAAAACCTACAATCAATAAAAATCGATCAAAAGGGCAGAAAAACACGGTTCCCTGAAAATTCCAGAGATGGAATCAGGTCAATCCCCTGTTCACTGGTCCCACCCGCCGTGAGCCCTATGTATTGATCAGGTAGACGGATTATTCCGTGGTCAAATTTAGTCTTTCAAAAACAATGGCCTGACAATTGGTATGAAATATGTCATTCAAAATACGACACAATGATAGGTTGTATTTGCAAACAAGGTCATTATAACGACCACATAATTTACGAAATGCTGGTATTAAACGAGGTTGTTGAAATCCCTGTAGCATCAACTTATTTAACAGTAGCCTGCATCGGTTTAAATATTGACTGGGATATATCGAGTCGACATATAAATGACTACTGTTAATCGATCAAACGACATCGATATATCTGAATGTCGAGTTGAAGGCCAGAGCAAGTGTTTTCTTCTCTTGTAGAAGTTTTTGTATAATTTCTGCTTCATAGGAATATAAAAAAAAGGTCGGCAAATAAACGAAATTCCAGCAGATTGTTGGAAGACCTGGTCTCCGAAGACTACATAGATGTTGTCAATGAGGAACTCTAGTATCCTTTTATTATCACCTTCAGAGAACTTGTGTATAGAATCAGAGTGTTTTTTATAAAGTAATTTTGAAGATGGTAAGTCTGATCCGTTCCACTTTTTTATGGAGAATGCAGCGAATGGATCAGAAACACATCTTAATAGAAGATGCATTTTGAAATAACTGACCGTACTTATCCCATTTTAATTACAACAAAAATACTGTTCGTAAAATCACAGATAATTACATGTGATATACGTGTTTAGCAAAATATATCTAATCAGGCAAAACCGCAGGAGTAGTTCTAATGAAAATGTTACATCGGACAGACAGTCGGACGGACGACGGACTCACCAATAATACCTTTAATCAAGGACCAGTAGACCATAATAATCTTATGTTTTCATAAAATAACGAATTCATAAACTCACTAGATATTAGCTGGAATCGGTCTTTGGCCGTATTGATCCAAAGTTGGTTCTTGACGCAGAGTATACTGAAATGGAATTGTGGTAGTGTGAGAACTTGATATTACTTGCAAATAAATTATTTGAGTAATTTTAAATTATAGAAAAAAATATTTCTATACGCCTTTTACCTTCCAGGATTGTGTGACCTCAGGTCGTAAATATCGAACAGCGTACCCGACAAATCGCTGATCTGTAGAAAGGAAAAATCATATGTCACAAACTATCATAAGTTCTCAATCAAGAAATCAAACACAGAGCGTACATAATTCATTTAGGAGAAAAGTTTGAAATACCTAACTAGACAGTACATATCGTTGAGATCAGATTGATATTGTGTTCGTTTTGGGGGGAAGAAAAAAACTTTATAAAGTGATGTAGAGAGGATATACATATCGATAAAGAAGATATACAAACCTTTGCTATTAGGGAGTTCTGGTAACTTAATATTAAACCTTTCAGGTGATCTGTTCAGGAAATCGGACCACTCTGTGCGGGCACGTCTGAAAGTTGATTTAAATCATGTCTATCATTTCCATTACAATCAAATATATACACTGTCACATAGATATTTTGAAACACTTCCGAGCACTTACTTGAGTTCTTCTGGTGTGGTGTAGTGCTTATGTAGCTGTTTTCCTGTTGACGTAATTTCCTAAAAAAAAAAATTATTGAATAATTCATTTTAATATCAGAACGAAGTTTTCTTCAAATTTTGACATAGTTCAATGCAAAAAAATGTGTTTATTTTATTGCAAAAATTCTTCATTCTACTGTTTAAACGCATTTGATTTGCATTCAGATATCTAGTGTTAGAAACACATTTTAAAGATTTTTTGGAAAATGTTTACTTTTTGGGGAAAAAGACATTTTAGTTGATTGTCACTGTTCTTTAAACAAAGCAAATGTAAATATAAATAATATTAAATACTTTCGGTGATTTTTAAGCTGTCATATTTTCATGACATTTATTATCTAAATTAAAAGTCAAAATTTGTAGTGTAAATAGTTTCGCTAGAGCTACACAATGAATTTCCCGAAGACTGGACAATCCTATGCCAGGTTTTCATATTAGAGTTACTTCTCTTTGCTTCCATATGATCAATGAGATGGGCGAACAAGGCGTGAAATATGCCTATAGCTTCAAATGTATAAAAGTCATATTCAGTTTGTTAATAGTATTTATAGTTAAGTTCTTTTTATTGAAAAGAATGAAATTATGACAAGCAAAACTTTTCTGCAGAAAATTCTTTCAGCAAAAATCATTCTATGATTAAAAAAAAAAAGTGGTATTCTTGGGGTTTGAACCCAAGCAATTAAATGCCTAAGTGTCTTTTTTTTTCGACATTTACAGGCAATCCATTATGCTTTACAGCTCATGACATATAGTGGCATTTAAATAATGTTTTTTATATGACCCTTGACAAAATGAACTTCAAATATTTCTCGGAAAGACATGAATGATGTGTCATAAAAATATATTTTTACGGTACAGTGTGTCTTTGCTCCATGTTTTTCTTACCCAAACATTGTAAAATTTTTCACATACTTTGAGCATAAAAAAAAAATGGAGCGAAGACCCACTCCTATGGAAAAATTTAGATACAGTATGAAGAAATGCTCTCTTTTTTTTCCTCTTTGGTGTATATGCTATTTCATAGACACATAATTTCAATCTTTGTGAGATTGTTGTAAATTGTGGCTATTTTACATAAACTATAAAACTCTACGTTAATGTTAAATGAAATGAAAATTTTGTCATAATTGAGATTTAATTTTCGAATTTTTTATTTGATGCACAATAGGCATTTTGCTCTCCTTGTCCGCCCATCTTCTTTGTGAAGAAAAGCTGTTTGTGGAATTATATTTTAGGAAACCAAAGGAAAAAATCGATAGGGGGCAAGTTGTATTAAAGGAACGGTGTTCGCAAATTTAAAATAAAATTAGAATAAGACCTCCATTAAAGAATCTCTGTCTTGTACTCACCAGACTGGAGAGATTCTTCACTGGCGGTTCCATCAGTGTGGAGGTGGATCTCTGGAAGTCATCTGTTAAAAGAATGAAAGCACACTCTAGACCTAGTACACATAAATGTACATTTTATATATATTAAAATTTACTTCTTTTGAGAAATTAATTTTATCAAATTAAAAATAGGCTAATATAGTGGTAAGCCAAATAAATTTTATTTTACTAAAACACTTACGTAGGGCTACATGTACATTATATTCATTGCAAAAAAATCCATGTAAGTTTGTATTTATTTTGATTTATTTCATATTTATTGCCCTTTTCTTTTCTTTTTGTTAGGGGTGGTCTAGGGATTTCCAACAAAAGCATAATTGGAATTTAGTTCTCAGTGCAAGTATATATAGTTTAAACCCTCTGTTTGGGAATGCTATAAGGTAGTGCAATAAATTTGTCGATCAAACGGACCATTTCCTCGGTCTCTGTAATTCTTTGTATTGCAAAAGGATTTAAAGTTTTTCGCATGGCCAGAAAATATTTAATCATTACAACAAAGACGTATTGCGTTGCTCACACAATCCTGTATGTTGATTTTTGTATTAAGTGAACGATTTCTGTCAGGAAAAGTACTTTAATTCAAGATCAAAAGTTATAAGAAAATCAAATCAACGTTTATTAAAGATCGTGGCGTGTATTATACGTGTTAAGTAGTGTATATTTTGAAAAGGTATTCGATATAAAAAAAAAAAAAAATCGATGACTATGGTACCAATTTGGCCAGACAATACATTTGAATAAAGGTCATAATGGAGTTAAAAGATATATTTTTTTCGGAAGGGCATGACTGTTAATGTTAATGCTTGAGCAGAGGCACTGTCGTTCGATGATCTGTAACAAATTTAAATGGTTATGTTCGATTATCCGTTGATAACCTTTGGATTAAAGTGATAGACTTTGGATTATGGTCATAACTGTACATTTTGCGATTAAAATCTATTTAACTACGTATATACATGTATGACAGTAATGACATGTCATTCAAAATACTCTGTTGGAAATATATTTTCTTTAAGTGGCAGCAAGAAATTACAGACACCCCACTGATTAATCAAGTAGCAGTTGTGTCATGTATATTTAAGAATTTTACCTTTCAGTAGTTTGGAAAACAAATTAAAATTCTGGCAAGAATTCCAAACAAATAAAATCCCAAAATATACAAATGGATTTGATTACTGGAATACCTTTACATCGAGAATTATTTGCAACTCAAACCTCGAAGGAGATATGTTCATTTAACGATCTGCATGAAAATTATTATCTAATCTATACTGGGTGACAAATTCTTTAATAATTTAAAGCAAGATTAAAAAAAAAAGGTGAAAAAAAGAAACGTACTTGGATTAAAATCGATATTTGCTAGCTTCAAATATTTTTTTTACACAGAGAAAACTCAATCACAAACCTGGTCCGCAAGTTGTAGTGGTACGGCAATGTTCGTCAGGGAGTTTATGCCCAGCCGTATCCATATCCATCCTCCTAAAGCTCGGGAGTCGGGGGTGGAAGAGCCCCTCCTTGACAGCCGCCAGCTGGACCCTGCGGTGGGAGGGATACTGGTAAGAGTAGCTGGGGATCTTCATCGGATAAGCCCCTTGATGGACAGGATCAACACCGACAGTTGTCATTTTTCGCGACTTCAATAAATATCCCTGATCGTTTTAAAGTCGTGTGTGTCTTTTTATTGTCAGACACCTGTGTAAAGAGGCTCTTATGTTCGTCTGGGGTTTTAATCCAGGTATCGTACGCTTTGTTCTGCGTTATGGTGAAACCCAAGAACGCCGGGTGTATTGTGACGTCACACTTAGCAACTGACAACAAAAGGATATCGTAATTAAAACATACATAGAATTCCGAGGCTTTCCAAATTGGACACCCTTCCCAGTAAAATAAGCGAGATAACTCGAACAGTCTAAGCACATAATAACAAAGAACACTCAAATTTATATTATAGAATTATTTAATTTTAAAATCAATATTAATAATAATGTTAATAATTTTTGGTTATACACGACAACAAATATTGCAATTTTAACTTATAGTAACAAAATCGTGCATTTTATTACACAAACAACTGTTAGACATGCAACCAATGTAACCCCCTCTCAGTCTTGGAACAGTAAAAAAATTTTCTCACATATTTGACAAATTTCTTAATATCCAGATACTAAATATTTTAACATTACATAATATAAACTTTTGCATCTGATAGTTTGATCATGTTCTATTTTAATCCTATTCACTACCGGTATATATATATTATTGTTAGCCCACATTTACAATATACGTAACGCTACTATATAACATTAGAGTTAAAGGTGTTCACAATTAGTTCCACAGACCTTTCTAATATTCAAGGAATGTATAGTTGGAAAAAAAAAAACATCAATGAAAATATAGTTTTCTTGCGATGGAAGACAAATAAAAATGAATGCAAGTTCAGTAGAAGTTATACTGATTTTTTCATTTGACACATTAAAAAGTACATGCAAATTTGTTCATTTATAAAATGAAGAGAAATTACCACATATAATAATTAGAGAATATTTACATAAACATTATATATTACAAATTCCAAAAATTATAGGATTTTTTTTTACAATTTCCCCTCCACAAGAAATCAGAACCATACAGCATGATAGAGAAACCTTTTTAAGACATCTATTAGCTGCAAACTAAAATTTTATTCTTATATTTCTAACAATAGATACACCATTATTGATTTATCTTTTTTTAAATTCAATTATTCAAATAAAATTTCATTTTGTCTAAAGATTCCCCAAATCTCGTGACATGATTAAATACAAGTAGATTCATATGTCTCTAGTTCCATGGTAAGAAAAATATACACAATCACTTCATCTATATTGCATATGTTGATTACACTTCATGATTATAGATTATATGAAAGACTTACTACTTAAATTACAGTATCATATTTACTGTACTCTAATATAGAACATTTCCTTATAGTGAAAAATCAAGTCCCAAATATATCACATATTATTAATATTGGTCCAAATTAAGAATAAGTGGAAATCCTTATGATCATTGATCATTGGACAGAAGAATTCTAGATATAAAACTATACACTTTCCTGGTCCCCACACTACTTTTTTCCTGACTTAGTTTGTAAGCACTTGATCATTATTTTGGTTTATATGTACAGAGGAAATTCCATCATCAGTTTTAATATCCAATATTCTCTTTTAAATCAGTAATGTTGTGATTGATATTTTGTTCTTTCCTTAAGCCAAAAATTTATTAGATATTTAATGAAGGACATAATGAAGTGAGATTTGATAATGAAAAATGAAGAAAAATTAATTATGCATGAATTTCATAACAACTATACTTGCCATGAAATACATAAAAATGCTACAGTTACCATGAAAACCTCAGCTTGAAAAAATAATTTCTTACACTACAAGACTAGAAAACATTTATTGAAGGCATTCAAGGCAAGATATGTTTAAAAAAAAAATTGTCAAATTCACAACTCAGCTCTGTTCTACAGAGTTCAACAAATACGTTTTAAAAGCCAAAACTTTAAAATATTCTCATTTCTTAAAAGCCATTGGTCCTTTCCAAAAAACAAAAAATAAATACACATAAAAGTTATTTTTCTCACTAAAAGTTGTATATCAATGTGTTAGAGAAATGTTATGATACATACAAAGAAAAGAATGTTGGTAAGACGGATTAAAAAAAGATACATGTATACAAGTATACAATTGCATAGTGATAAAGGCATTGCTGCTGAAATAAAGGATTTGCAAAACTATGGAATAACTTAATACCACAAATGCATGGCTCATATAAAAAGTGTGCAAAGGGCCAACTTTAAAATACACACTAGTACAAGAATAAAATGACATAAAATTTGCTTAAAATACAAATACACAAATGTAATCCCTTGGTAATATGCAAACATTTATATTCAACATTCGAAATACAATTTTCCATTGAAAAATAATGGACATCAAGCATCAAAAAAATATACAGATGACAAATAACAATGGATCTCTTTATAATGTGACAACTTCTGTATTGCTGGGGCTCTTCTTAGGGGGCAATAAATGATCTTGTACTTCATCATCATCGTCGTCTTGATCTGGAATATGGTCACTGTCAAAGGACTTGGATGACCGCTGGGAACTGAAGGAGTGCTGGGAGGAGGCATGGGAGGCCTGGGACATTTGGGAGTGTCTCCCAGGGCCCCCTCGGTGGGGGGCCAGAGTCAATCGCTGATTCACAGGCTTGACTGTGATGATCAGATTTGAACTGTTAGCCACCATCATATCCGTCACTTGATCTAGTGTCTTTCCTGCTACCTCGATACCGTTCACTTCTAGAACTTCGTCATTGACAGCTAAAAGTCCAGTGCTTTCCGCCAGACCACCTGGCACAAGCCTTGAAATGAAAATTCCTGGGACTTTCTCCAATCCATGTGGAGTTACCCTAACACTAGTTCCATCTCTGATATAAAATCCAAGAGGTTTGTCTGAACCATTTTTCATTAACTTCACACGGCGATGTTGCTCAGGAACAATATCAACATCAATAATGGCCGATACACGACGGAAATCCTCCGGAAGTCCAATAAGAAGCTTTGGTTTAGCACCGGCGACTGGTTCATTTGCACCCATAAACTTTGTGATCTTATTCTTTTTTTTCGTGATTGTCCCATACCCATTCATCTGTTCATAACTTTCTCCTGAAAGTAGAAGAATTTACAAATACATTCAATTGCAGACATACAATAAGACATGGTAAATTATCAGATATAAGAATAAAGATCTGCTTCTGTACATATAGCTACAAAAGATAGCTAGATACATGAAGCACTGAGTGGATGAAACTCTAATTTACTTTGAATGGTGCATATCAATATCATACACAGGGAACTCCATTTATGTACATAAGCTTTTGAACTCTTGTTTCTTCCAACTACAGGCAGCTTTTTCATCATCATTCAATCTTCACATGATTTTAAGGTTTTTTTGTGATAACTGACCTGCATATTTGATGACTGGTTCTTCATAAAAATAATTTGTTTTTAAGCCTCAGCAATTTTTTTTTTTTGTAATCAGTAAGGGGTACAACTATAACTCCAGCTACTTTCTTAATCACAAAAAAGGTTTCTCCCCCTGTAAATTATGTTTCATGAGTTTGTTGGGCTTTTACAGTAACATGTTTCAGCTATCTGTTGTTTTACTAAAAATTTCCATTGAGAACTGGCAAGTTCATAATATTTTTCCCTTGTTGCCTAATGAATATCTTTAATTAAATTATAAGATTAACATCTAACTTTTACCAGAAAAAAAGGTTGTTTCAACTTGTTTGTGTAAAAAAAAATCTTCAAAAGTTGCTCTCTGAAAATTAAACATGATAAATGAGTAAGTCACCACAACCTCTATCTAAGTATCAAATATATTTCATTCTCTTTATAGTATATATACAACTACAGATGATACATGATCCGATCTTATCTGAGCAATGTATGAATACTATTACTTTGTGTATATTCATGTCCAAAAATCAGAAATTTTCAAATTTTCAGTCAACATGAAGTCAAACAAAAGAACATAAATATTGATTATTTAGATCATAAATTGATAATTATCAGATACTTTTTACATTTTTCACACTGCTAGCATCTATTTTGTACATTAGATCCTTGCCTTACTCTCAATGAAATACAGGGCTCTCGCACCACTTTTTGCCCATTTTTGGGACTGCATGGGGCGGGGTTCATAAAAATTGGGAAATTAGTGATCCTTTAGGGAGTTTATGGAAAATTATTACATGGTATAATTTACTTTAAAATTGTTATACTTTGGGTTTCTGGTGTCTGTTTTCAACTTTTTCTGTATTAATAAGAAATTCAGTTATTATATATTTAACTTAAATCTAGAAGGAAATGACTACTGGGAAAGTTAACACATTCAATTGGGAAAAATGGTACCTTTTTTGAATTCAGAATGGGGCCTTTGAACGGCCCCAAATATAGACAATCAAGAACCCTGAATATAATAATAAGCTGCAAGTGTTCTTCTTTAATATACCACATTGATTTATGATAGACATTATTTTTTTATCAAAAATTAAACAGAACAAAATTTGCTGGAAATAAATCTAGGCATGATTAGAGTCTTATCATGTGAGGTTCTTTATTAATACAAATGAGCATGAAGAAAGATGAAGTGAGTGCCAGCAGACTTAATCACCATTCTGTTCAGACTAGTGCATGTAATTGCCCTGCTTTGATGCAAGTGTATCCCCGGTAATAAATAATGCATGACTGCCTCCATTTGTTTCCCACATAAACAAAGCATGGTAATAAATCAATGGATAATGAGAAATTTTCCAAATAGTGCTCAATAATTAATACAGAATACCTGCAATGTTATTTGGAAAAAGTCTACCTATTAGTTAGCAAAATTACTTTAAAGTACATCCAAGATAATTTTGAAGGCCATGCATTTATTTTGTGGATACTAATTAAGACATTACACATTGCTTGAATACTAGATATATGCCACTGTATGAGAAACTTGAGTATTTCTGTGAGATGAAAGATAATAAACACATCTACATCTATTTTCAGTCAATGCCCAAGTGTCTTGTCTTTTTTTGGCATAAAAATAATCTTGCAATACTCGATTACTCCTTCAGCTAAAAAAAAGGAAATAACTTTTCATTACACTCTCCAATTTTATTTTTGGTATTTAGACAGTCACATATACTATGCCTCATCTTAATCCCGACTTTTACAGTTAATCCCTCAGACTTTTATAGAACTAATTGCACATACTTGTAGTACATTTGTAATGTACAGTATAAATGGACCGACTGTTCAATGTCCATTAAAAAAAATAAACCGTTTTGTACGATTTTTTTTATCAGTGACGATTCATCATCACAGTCCTCAAATCTTTTCACAATTTTTCCATAGTTTAATTGATGATGGTTCTATTGGTAACCATTCATGTAGTCATGTATCAATAAACAAGAAAATGTGGGGGATATATGTGACATACATCTTTCAGAAAGTAAAGTCTTAATATATTTGAAAGAGTGACCATTGGGGAGAGCACAGCTGTGTAAAAAATTTACCTAGTCTACATCTTTAACTGAGATCTCCCTCTTCAAACTGTTTATTATGACTGTGACATCATAAGTTAGTTGCATTTCCTTAACTTTATAAAGTGCAAAGTTTGACAAAGAGAGTTTAAAATATTAATATACTATATATCTGTAGTTTCCATTAAATCACAGTGAATTTTCTTTTCTGTGTGAACTTTTGATTGGTAATACCATAAGAATGTAGTTTGGGCAGCCATATGCAATATATGAAAGATTATGGATACAAGATATCTGTGGAAAAATTTTATTGGATCAATGTGAAGCAGTCCAATTTTTTCTTTGCCCAGGCACTGTCGTAAGAGCTCGCAGTGTGATGGAAACTTTGCGCCACCCACTGGGCTCACTGTTAAGTATTATTTATTTACCATCCTTACAGGGTTAGAAACTCCCTAAAATTACAACTCGCAAATAATTGCGAATTCCAAGAAAGTGAACTAGCAATTTTATAAAACTACTCGCAATTTTCATATAAAGTTAAATTTATATAAATTAGATACACGTAACTTAAGGAAAAAGTAACTACTGTACAATACACCAAATACAACTACAGTGTGCCTTTTTTTAAATTACTGATTTAAATCAAAAGCGTTGTGTTCTGTCATATTATATAATTTTGCTACAGTTTCAATGCAAAAAAATCAACTCGCAAGTTTTTGCGAGTTACCTAATTTTTAACTCGCAATTTGGGAATTCTAACTCACGTTTTGCGAGTTGTATATAGTGAATTTCGAACCCTGCCTTATCACAAGTATATTTATAACAAATCTCATTACAGTAAGTATGTATAACTTAACATTCAATGATTACTATGTGTCATATTTCTGATGATATATATCTATATATATAGAGAGGGAGAGAGAGAGAGAGAAAATAAAAAATACCAGAAGCCAATTAAAACTCTACTGATTTCAATTGTATATAATTTACTATTTACCTTTCATTTGAATCATGATACGTAACAGTGGCTTTGCTGTGCTTAATGCTTTCTGGAAGTTATCATCGTTGTTGATGGGTAATAAGTCTCCATGGATATCAGTGTATGTTACAATAAAGCTCTGTCGATCAATACTGTGTAGTGATGCCAAAAGATTTTCAAAATTTTCAAATTCTTTCATTTTATTTTTGTCAACAGAAAATCTTCTAAATTCTGCATCATGCTGTAAGATAAGAAAACATCATGACTTTAGTCAAGATATTTGGGGGTATTCTTTGGTTATTTTTAATGTGATACAAGGAAGTAACAAAAATAAAATATATAAATTAATTTTCAATCTTTAAGTAGGTGCATGACATTTGTCACCGACATGTGAACATAGCTAAAAATACTCAGAAGTGGATGCCAAGTGAGAACTCTCTCTACAGGATCCATGCACTGATCTTCATTAACTAACACTATTAAGTTGTCAGACAGAAACTTCAATAAACATATACAAGGATATTTACATGTTCAGAGATCATGCTTGATAATAGTATTATGTGATTAACATTTACGTCTTCATTTTTGAAATGTGTTAGTACCTTCATTGAAAATATTTGTTTATTTAGGTATCATAATTTAGAGAAATTGTGATGAATACATAAAAACAGATCAATTATTTTCAACTAAATGTTCATCCATTCACTTGAAGTTATTAAATTCTTGATTACAATGAAAATCTATGTTTTGCAAACAATAACAAATATGTGTTAACAAGTATATTACATAATAGCAACAATAGTGGAGTCTCTTATCAATAGAACTGCTATGTTATGACTCATTCAGTCATAGAACACCTGACCCAGTTTGTCAATATTATTTTAGTCAACAATTATTGATCACATGAAATGCGAAAATGAAAATGTCATTACAGACAATATAATTGCTGTTCGTTATAAGAATTCCACAGAAGCCTTATCAGATATTTAGGTCAGTCTGACACAATAACTGACAGGTGTGCACATCCAGGTATCACCCTGTCGAAAATATTTAAAGAATGCGTCATGAAGTTGTCGCCACATAACTATGCATTAAAAAAAACAAACTTCATACGCCATACACAATACAAATAAGCATGACAAAAATTTATTGATTTACAAATAAATCCTTTCATTCTAACAAGGATAGGTTGGGGAGGGGCCCTATAAATAGATACACGGGCAATAATGGCAGGTGCAGGTGCCCGTCAACCTCATTACGCTATCTCCTCACGCTGATCTTGTTAGAACTTACCTTGCTTTTAACTTCCACCAATCCACAATCTCCACGAAGCGAAGACTTGGATCCCTTCGACATCATGGAATCGGCCCTGCTCGGGGCTGGTCAACTCATTGAAGTTTATTTTGGTAGGTATCAAATCCTTGCGTAGGCCACTATTGATGACGTCAAATATTTGGTAGAAAATCTCAAAGAAAAAGCACAGTGGGTTAGAATGGCCACACAATGGGTCTCACAAACAACCTGACCGTTATGTCTGTCTGAGATTAAAAGTATATAATATACTTGACACTGAATTGCACAGAGACCACCAGCAAGTGAAATTATAGAATATTTTGAATTTCCTGTTTCACAATAACATCTGAACGGTTGCACACAACTTCCGGATTGCGAATTGCACTTTTTTTCAAGTAGACCCTATAGATTTAATTAATAGCAAAGTTCCTATATTTTATAGGCTAATAGTATTTTGAAGTATCAACCTACGATTTGTTTATTTTTATTTATGTTTTTGGAACATTTTTAACTTTTTCTCATACCCATCAGGAAAAAATTACGCTTTTAAAACCAATTGTATATAAAAAAAAAAAAATTACACCTGCTATTCATGATAAATACCAAATGATATGTACTTTGAATCATAAAACATTTTATAAGGACAAAAGTGGCATAATTGAAATAAACAAATTCTCTTTATAAAAAAGGAACTAATAGAAACAAGAGGCCCATGGGCCACAATGCTCATTACCTTATTATTACCCATCTGTTCTAGATTATCAGCAGATTCTTTTTCCTAGATATTCTTATGTGAAACTTTGATAAGATATTATAGCTCCTTCTTAACCGGGGGGGGGGGGGGGGGATTTGAACAAACTTCAATTTACACTACCTGAGGATGCGTCTGTATAAATATGACTAATAATGGCTTTGCTGTTCTTGAGAAGGAGATTTTTAAAGATATTTCTCCTATATTCCAATACAAAACTTTGATCCCTTGTTGTGTGACCACCCTACTTCCCGAGATCACGATTTAAACTAACTTGAATCTGCACTACCTGAGGATGTTTCTCTGTTAATATGACTAATAATGACTTAATTTGCTGTTCTTGAGAAGATTTTTTTTAAAAGCTATTTCCTAAATATTAATCCTGTGTAAAACTTTGATCCCCTGTTGTGACCCCACCCAACTTCCGGGCGTCACGATTTGAACAAACTTGAATCTACAGTATGTAATGAAGCTTTCACATAAGCTTCATCTTTTCTGGCCTCGTGGTTCTTGAAGGCTTTTAAAATGATGCCAATAAATTTTCACAAAATCTTAAATATCTTCCCTTGAAAGAAGGCGTGACACTTCCTGTGAACAAACTTAAATTCCCTTCACCCAAGGATGCTTGATTTGATTTGAACATATTTTTAGCTCACCTGAGCCGAAGGCTCAAGCGAGCTTTTTTGATCGAAATTTGTCCGTTGTCTGTCGTCGTTGTTGTCGTCGTCGGCGTTGTTGTCGTTGTAAACTTTTCACTATTTCATCGTCTTCTCCAGAACTACCAGGCCAATTTCAACCAAACTTGGCACAGAGTATCCTTGGGTAAAGGGGATTTAAGTTTGTTCAAATGAAGGTCCATGCCCTCTTCCAAGGGGAGATAATAAGAAATTAGTGAAAAATAAATGGCATCATTTCAAAATCTTCTCCTCAAGAATCACTGGGCCAGGAAAGATGAAACTCATGTGGAATCATCCTCAGGTAGTGTAGATTCAAGTTTGAACAAATCATGACCCCGGGGGTAGGGTGGGGCCACAATTGACGATCAAAGTTTTGCATAGGAATATATAGCAAAAATCTTTACAAATCTTCTTCTTAAGAACAGCCATTAAAGCCATGATTGGTCTTATTTATATGGAAGCATCCTCAGGTGGTGTAGATTCAAGTTTGTTCAAATCATGACCCCCGGGGGTAGGGTGGGGCCACAATGGACGATCAAAATTTTACGTAGGGATATATTGGAAAAATCTTCTGAAGAAAAGCAAAGCCATGACTGGTTATTAACTATTCGGAAGTATCCTAAGGTAGTGTAGATTCGTGTTTGATAAAAACCATGACCCCAGATGGGGATAAGGTGGGGCCACAATTGATGATTAAAGTTATGCATAGGAATACATAGGATTTTTTTTTTTTTTTAAATCTTCTTCTCAAGAACAGCAAAGCTAGGATTGGCCATATTTATATGGAAGCATCCTCAGATAGTGTGGATTCAGATTTGTTCAAATCATGACCCCCAGGGGTAGGGTAGGACCATAATGTTTAAACTTGTAGGGAAAAAAGTCACAGTTAGTCAAAGAAATATGTAAGCATCTTTAGTTGGTGTAGATTAAATTTTGTTCAAATCATAACCCCCCCCCCTTTTTAGGGGTAAGTCGGGAACACTTATGCATTAAAGCTTTTCAATACTGAACTCATTTTTGCTTTTTTTCCTAGCCACAATACTCAGGTGAGTGATGTGGCCCACGGGCCTCTTGTATTGCATTAAATATATACAATGGGATTGGGCACAAGTTCTAAAAACTTAATTCGGCCTCTCCCTATATGTAATATCACACACAAAAAAAATTGAATTAGACGTGCCCAACAGTGTGTACAGAATCAATTAACTCACAACATAAAAATATATACTGCTAAATTATTGTCTATACACATTTTAAGTATAAGAACATTCAATTAAATCTGCCAGAATGCTGAATATAAGAATGTACAATAGAAAAAAGATATTCATTTTCAGCAATAAAATATTCAAAAAAGATGCTTAGTGACAAGTTTGTTTGAAATTGGCCAGTGGTTCTGGAGAAGAAGTCGAAAAAAGTGAAAAGAAGATGGGTGAACATGACGAGCGAAAAGCCTATTGTGTGACAAACATGAAGGTGAAAAATTAAATCTCAATTAAATATCAAAATTTTACTTGATATTTCATCTAACATTAAAGTATACTTTATGTAAAATCTCTACAATTTGCAAAAATCTCATAAAGATTGAAATTATTTGCTTATGTAATATTGTACACACACTAAAGAGGGCAAAAAGAGTCATTTTCTCATACTATAACACTATTTTTCGATATGAGTGGGTCTTCGCTCCATTTTTTTGAAAGTTAATCCTCGAAGTTTGCATAAAAATATACATTTTTTTGGTTTCCAAAAATATGGAACAAAGACCCACTATACCTTAAAAATATACTTTTATGACATATCATTCGCATCTCTCCGAGAAATACTTGAAGTCTATTAAGTAAAGGGTCATATCACAAACATGATTTAAATGCCACTATATTCATCAGGACCTGTCTAGTCTAGTGGTTAGCGTGCTAGTCTCGAAAGAAAATGATACTCGGGATTTTTATTGCTAGGGTTCGAACCCCACGAATACCTCATTATTTTCTTAATAAAAGAATAAATTTTGCCGCGAAAATTTTCCTCAGAAAAGTTTTGTTTATCATAATTTCATAAATTTCAATAATGAGAACTTTACTCTAAATACTGAATACACAAATTGAACATGATTTTTATATATCTGAAGCTATAAACTTTCTGCACGCTATGTTCGCCCATCTCCTTTACAGACAACACACGACAGACAGACGCCGGACACTTTTTCACTAGAAAAGCTCACTTGTGTCTCCGGCTCAGCTGACCTAAAAAGGGATAGTCTCATCAAATGACAAAGAATTCACAGGTGTGTGTATAAATGATATCCAAAACTTTGGAAGAGTTTTGCGACACAAAAAAGAAGAAGAAGAAGAGTGTGGTAACAATATGTACATGTAATCCTTCATGAAAAAAAAAATCGACATTGTGCGTCTGAAGGTATAAATAATTAACATGGCCTCATTTTTTTCCCCAAACTTCATAATTCGATGACTCGCCTCGTACCTTTAATTCAGGAGTGAAGTTCATTTGGGATTTTGTTTTTTTTTATACATGTACGCTCTCCACTTCAAGAAAGAACTGCGAACTATAGTATTGTTCTGCCGCCTATCTTCAAGTCAATTTTTTCAAAAGTTAACATATTTGAATGATTTTTCATGTTGATATATTTATATAAATTCTTAGTTGGGAAAACGGAGAGAGATAACTCTGTAATTTTGCTAAAACTTGTGTAAACAAGATGTGTTTGTGAAACACCGATGCCTCCGTATGGCAACTTATAGCAAAGGTTAAATTTTCTCAAATGCAAACCAAATATGTTGGTACCCAAAGTAAGGTCTTGTCTCGAGGAATATACCTGTGAGAAATGAAAGCCCTAGCAACAACCATTGAATAGATATCATAATGGAAAAGGTTAAAGTCAAGGTCAATTGGTCAAAATTAATGGTGCGTAAGGAAAGGCCTTCTCACAAGAAATATACTGGTGAAATATGAAAGCTGAAGCACCAATCGTTCAAAAGTTATGACCTAGGTTTAAGTTTTTCAAAAGTAGGTCAAACTCCAAGGTCAAGGTCAATGGATTACAATTGTTGGTATCCAAAGGAAGGTCTTGTCACAAGAATTACACATGTGAAATATGAAAGCCCTAGCACCAACCGTTCACAAGTTATGGCAAAGGTTAATGTTTTCCAAAAGTAGGTCAAACTCCAAGGTCAAAGGTCAAAGTTGTTGGTATCCAAAGAAAGGGCTTGTCACAAGGTTTACACCTGTGAAGTATGAAAGTCTTAGCACCAATTCTTCAAAAGTTATGGTCAAGGTTAAAGTTGGGTAAAGTTTTGCAGAACTGGGTCAAACTCCAAGGTCAAGGTCAAAGATCAAAGTTGTTGGTATCCAAAGAAAGGTCTTGTCACAAGGATTACACCTGTGAAGTATGAAAGCCTTAGCACCAATTGTTCAAAAGTTATGGTCAAGGTTAAAGTTGGGTAAAATTTTGCAGAACTGGGTCAAACTCCAAGGTCAAGGTCAAAGATCAAAGTTGTTGCAAAAACTATATACACCGAATCTTCTATACGGGGGCATAAAAAAAATTATAAAAATCAATAGAAAAAGCCCCCCCCCCCCCCCCCCGGTGAAGCAAAAATTCCTTTTTACAGGTGTTATGAATTGTTATTTTACAAATTCATACCAAAACTTTTCTTGATTCACGAGTGGGGGGTGGGGGGGGGGGGCATATGTTTACAGACAAAAAAGCAACAACATTCAGTTTATTAACAATTTCAAATGAGATTACAACTAAAAATGTACCTTATAAATTATACGTCTTACTTTACATAACCTATGCTAAACTAATACAATATTTTACATAAGTTAAACAAACGGAAAGATTTAAGGGTCATTAATCCATATCCGGAGTATTTTAAAATCTGGTGATGTTTTAAAGCCTGGTTTCAATTGATAATATCGTCTATCCCCTTATAAGAAGAGTTGTAATTAAGAGCAATTAACCACTTATCACTGGTATTAAAATTATTTATCATTACTATTGAACTCTTCTTTTCATTCAAAAAAGTTTTAATGTAGCGTGTGCACATGTAGTTCATCACAAAATTCGCTCTCCTTGGCATTTGTGTTTTCATATACATATGTAATACATGTTCGATTTTATTCTGACAATCTAGAGAAAAAAAGATAAACTTAAAAAGTATGCATGACTCAATACACTGTACAAATACATACAAAATACTATCTGATTTGTATCAACTGCTTTTAAAGATCTGTTTCACGTAAACTATTTCGAGTGTCTGTTCTAAAACAATCATGCACATTGAACCTTATAGATAATAGTATCCATGCAGTGGGAGGAAAATACTCTTACCCGAACCAATTTGAAAGAAAATATCAGTTGTCAAGATTATATTAAGTTGTTGAAATTCTTTATAAATCTATACATAGTCTATTCTGGTTTTAACCAGTCATAGGGCTGTCATAAAAAAAAGAGAAAGAAAAGGGTAGGAGGGGTCTCACATGTATAATTATTTGTATCTCAACTCCAACATTCCTCTCTAATATTTGCCACACTGCAGGTAATATCCTTGACAAGACATGGATTGAATTGAATGTCTACGTATATATTCGTAAAAAAATTATGAAACAAAAATTGACAAAATGAATACAAACCTTCATTACTTTTTATGATATTTATAAACTAATCAATAATTTGACAAGTAACTTTAGAAATGGAAATGCGCAAAATGACGTGCGAAATATTCCACCTGTGTCGCAACAAGCGTTATAGTAGTGACTTTGCTTGATTAACGATAAACTTACAACCAGCGCAGACAGTCATGAAAACAATCAGTTTAATAATAATAAGTGTTCTTTTTGTCCATGCTTGTAAGTACAGTTTTTCCTATTAATGTAAATATATTGACTTTTTTCATATTTTAATGTTTTCTAATTTTTCCATTGGCATTTTGTGATTTTTGTCCACAATGTTATACCAAAGAAGCCGGAGATCTGTATCTCTAGATCTCGCTGGTCAGTTATGATTTTGTTTTTCATAGTGCTCCTCCGAGACTTCTTATAGGGAACCAAAAGATGGCGAAAAAGGAGACAGGATCGTTGTCGTTAAAAAATAATATCAACTACATATAATTTCAAATTAAGTATAAAACTGTTTGAATTTATCATTAATTTTAAACGACAATAACTAACAACATGACAGTTGTCAATGAAAACAAGCATTCTGAGAGTATTGCATTAGCAATACTAGTCCCCTACCGGCAAGTGCATGTAATCTGGTTCCCGTTCAGAATTGAAAATGCCATAATTCTGTCAAAAATTAATGAAGCGGGACGAAATGCGAACTTGATCTATAACTAATCAAGGTAAAGCCACATACCAAAAATCAGCTCAATATCTACAAGCGTTTAGAAGAAAATTGCGGAAAACCCGTAAAAATTGAAAAGGCCGTAATTCCGTCAAAAATCAATGAAGCGGAATGCAATTCAAACTTGATCTGTAACTCATCAAAATACACTCACATACCAAAAATCAGCTCAATATCTGCAAGCGTTTAGGAAAAAAGTGCGGAAAACCAAGTGGGACAGACTGACAGACAGACAGAGGGACAGACAGACAGACAGACAGACGGACGGACAGACTCAGAGGAAACCTATAGTCCCCTCCGGTTTCACCTGTAGGGGACTAAAAATATTTCGACAAATCCATGTAACATGTCATGCAGGCGACGAACTTTTCAGCTACATTAATTACATTAATTATAGCCGTTGGACACAAATACAGCCTGAAGATTTTTCAATTCTGGGATGTCGATTGATTTTTAAAAAAAAAATGGGGGGGGGGAGGCTAAAGGGGGGGTGGGGGAGGACTAAATGAACCTGAAAAAATTATCATACACGTCCTAGTTTGCTTTCAGTCGGGGAGTAAAGCATTGCCTGTTTTGTGTGAAGTGGAATTTTATTGCCTTATGCTACAAAATGTCAACACTGACCTTAGAGTTAACAGGACCATTTCAGATAAAGATATGGCCACGACTCAAGACTCAATATAAGGCCATCTTGTATGAAGACCGAGAGAAAACCGAAAATAAAGTGTTTTATTGGATCACTATTTTAACATAGAAAAATAACAGCATATTTTTTCTAGTATTTTTGAAAGTAATAAACTAATAATTCATGTATACAAGCCATTCCGGACTATGTAATGTTCTTACAGTAAAAAAGAAACTCCTTTCCTTCATTTGAGAGATAAGGCATTTTTCAATGATAGGCAGAAGTGAAAAAAAAATACAATAAAACAATATGCATCATGATCAATAAAGTGAATATATATATATATATATATGTACTTACAAAACTTTGTAGACTGTGCGGATCCACAGTCTCATTGCCTAATGGCTTGCCCAATGATCTGGTTGCCCCTCTGTGGATCAGATGGACACACCTACAGCAACCAATGTGAACTAAATGTCCACAATTGTCTGTAAGTTATTGAATTGTGTAAATAGTAAACAATCAGAAATTGAAAATGATAGCGTGTCGCTAACATGCAATCAATGTCAAACACGAGAGAGAGAGAGAGAGAGAGAGAGAGAGAGAGAGATCTTAATTTTGTCTATTTGATCATTTGTTCATTTTTTTTTTAAAAATAAGCATTAAAGAAAAAAGACTTATAAATAGTTATAAATATAGTTATAAATGTTATAAACACATAAACAAATTTATCATTAACCATGGCCGTAGGAACCGGGGGGGGGGGGGGGCACGGGGATCGTCCCCCAATAATTTTGCCGATACATGTATATAAAATGCTATAGAAAACAGCTCCTTTATGCATGTGCCCACTCAATAATAACGTCTGATGACCCCCCTTTTTTTGCTTGTCGAGGAATTTTTGGTAGTTGATAGTGCCCCCCCCCAACTGAAAATGTATGGTTATGCCCCCCTTCAAACTGAAGCTGCTTCCTACGTGCCTGTTAACTATTTATCATCCAGTTGTCAGTAGACATAAACAATCCCTCAAACGGAGGACTGAAGAAATACATGTCTTATTTTTCTTACAGCCAAAAATCAAACGTAGTGAAAATTCATGAGGGCACGTGTGACCTGAATACCCTCGGGTAAAAGGCCTCATCAGACTGGTGGACTATACTTTGTTTTTGATGTACGCAAACAAAAACAGCAAATAAAATAAAACTGTCGTCAAACATTGTTAAAAATTAAGATTGAATTCAAAGAAGCAAAATACCAGAATATTGGAAAAAATATGAAGATAACGAACAGTAATCAAGCTTAAAAGTCCATTGAAACAACGCATATCTGAAGCACAGCAAACACGCATCTCTAAAAACATCGGAGATGGGATCAGATGCCATGGAGGAGTAATCATCCCCTGTCGACCGGTTACACCCGCCGTGTGCTCCTTGTCATGATCAGGCAAAATACATAGACAGTTCAGTGAAATTAATGCATTCTTTATTGCACAATAAACCCATATTGGTCAAGCAATACAATCCATCATATTAATACGTTCTATTTCCATTAGTGAACTCTTCAAAATTAGAGACGCGTTTGGCCGTCTGACAGGGACAGCATGGCGTTGCGGATAATACAAAACACGCCAATCTCAATCCAATTTTTAATGTTAAATGTATTTGTCATTCCAGTTAAAGAATAGAAGAATTTAAAGACATATGTAAGAGAGCTGGAACCCTAAATTTATCATCCATTAATAAAAAAAAATACAACATTTCCGAGGCATGTGTATTGTATTTAGATGTATCATACGATAAATAGATACATACGATCAACAATATATATCGTTGTCATTCCTACTCTTGATGTATATAAAGTCCACAACAATAAAATATTTCATTTGCATTTTCTTAGGATTTGTTCATCGACATTCAACATATTGTTTACATGTTTACATTACGTTTGTCCCTGAAATCCCGCGAGATTTGTACATTTTCCGACTTTTTCACAAAAGAGCGCACTAAGAAGTATAACTCTTCCATAGTGGAAATAGAACGTATTTAAGTAATTTACTCCTAAAATGTTACACTGATGTAACATCTTAATTCGAGTGACTGTTTTATAAAAGTTAAATGGAATGGCCTAATAATTTTAATGAAAAATATCAGTCAACATTCGACCTAATGGTAGATTGTATTTCCTGACAAGGTCATTGTATCGACCATAGAATTTGTGAAATGCTGACTTAATACGAAACTATTGAAATGATATTCTTGTTTCATCAACTTATTTGTCAATAGCTTGCCTCGTTAGATATTTTTCGTGTGTAGAGCATCCTCTTGCGTATAGTATCAACTTGACATAAACTCCGTATGGAGGTGATAATGGTATATTGCTGCAAAAGTAAGGGAAGTTGCGATAGAAAAGTTAAAGCCATCACGCTTAGAACAATATACACATTCAACTACAAACAGAAAAGAAGGCTATCACTGCCAATTTGAAATATGTTCTTTATAAATTTTAGAAATCTGACAAGAGAATAAAAAAAAAATCTCCCGTTTGCTAATTCTTTTCATACATATCGTTATCTGAATGAAATACGGAGATAACGTACAGTAATCAAGCTCAAAAGTCCATTTGAACAACATATTACAGCAACCACACACCTCTAAAAACATTGGTGGTGTGATCAGGTGCCATGGAGGAGTAAGCATCCCCTGTCAACCGATCACACTCGCCTTGTGCTCCTTGTCATGATCGGGCAAACGGAAAAATCCATAGACAATTCAGTGTGAAAATAATGGCCTAACAATTTGTATGAAATACGTCAGCGAACATTCGACCAAACGATAGATTGTATTTACTAATAAGGTCATTGTCAACCAATAATTCCGAAACACTTTCCCTTGTATTTATATCTCAAAAATGGGGTAATATAAATTTTTGCCGTATCTTTATTCACCAAGGGGAAAAGGCCTTCTCCATTTTCCTCCATATTTCTCTAAAGAAACTTAAGCATATATATTTTTAGACTGTATTTTACTTTTATACAGGACAAATACAGACATGCCAGACAACATATTTTAGGAAATAGGGGGTTGAGTTGTAGGAATCTACATAAAGATTCTTAAAAATTACGCAATACACGTTGACAAGATCGTCACAAATTTTATTTTTTTTAAATAAACAAATCAATAATTTGAAATGCACCTTTAAAAATGCACAGTAAGCATGCAAAATATTCCACCTGTTGTTCAACAAATGTTACAGTGTAGACAGTGATTAACAGTAAAATAACAAGCAACAAGGACAGCCATGAAGATAACCAGTTTAGCACTAATAAGTGTTCTTCTTGATCATGCTTGTAAGTACAGTCTTTTCTATATCTTCTCTACTCATATGACAAACGTAATGTAAACATGTAAACAATATGTTGAATGTCGATGAACAAATGACTTCTTTGCTTAAACATGTGTATTTTAATGTTTTCTAATTTCTGCGTTGAGATTTTGGTTCGCCAAAGTAGCTGCAGATCTGTAGAGCTCTGGTTTGATGGTTTGGTAAATCCATGAGGGGTGGGGTTGGGGGGGGGGGTATTCAAAGTCTTAGAAAACAAAAGACATCCCTTTCGTTTAATAAGTAAAATTTCAATGAAATAAATACGATACATGTACAGGATATTTTATCTTCGAAGTTATCAATTAATTTACGACGGTTACATGTACATGAAAGTTGACTAAAAAAAATGTTACACTAGATCTATATTACATGTATAATTTTTCTGCAATCATCGCACAACGAAAATGAATGAATGTAGTTTTAATTACGTAGATAATATGTATATATCGATTAATCTTAAAAAAGAAACCCTGTTTGCTTTATTTGCATCAAATAGGGCAAATTACGTTACTTTTTGAAATATTCTAAACTCAGCATTATAAGGTACCTGTATTCAACCTCAATATGAATGGAAAATTATGTTGTTGGCGTTTCAAAAATATTTCTGACACCATGATGATGTTAAATATTCATGTTAGATATACAAAATAATTCAGATGTAAGACTTTTCTGTTTTGTATTTGTTTAAAATTATCATTTTCAGTTTTGTTTGAAAAAGAAAGAATTATTCACTAATAGGTACAAGTAAATCGGAAAAGCATTGAAAAATATTGACAAACCGATCATGTAACAAAATATATATGTACTTTTTTCGGCTTTCAAAATCTCACAAAATTCGTAGACTGTATGGATCCGCCTACAAACTGCTTAATGGCTTGCCCGATGAGCTGGGTGCCCATTTGTGGATCAGACGGACACACCTACAGCAACCAATGTGAACTCGATGTCTACAATTGTCTGTAAGTTATGAACAATTCAAACGAAAGAGAGAGAGAGAGAGAATCACTCGAACTTGGTAATAACTGAAAGCACAACTTTCTTCCTCTTATTTTTCAGCCTAAAATTAGAGGTTGTGAAAATTCGTGATGGTGCATGTGACATGAATACTGTCCGGTAAAAGACAACACCATTCAGTCAAAAGGGCCTGGCTTTTGATACAACTCAACATACAAATTGTTATTTTCATGAGGAACAACAGCAAATAAAATCAAAACGTTGGAGAACATTGTTATAATTGAAGATAAGAGAACTAAAGCATCAAAACATTGGAAAAAACAACATTAATACAAGCAGAAAAATATTTCAGGCAATTCATTTACAATACTTGTGCAAGTTAAAAAATGAATATAATCATATTCTCAAGTTACCCAAATAGATATAAAAGAGATTAAATTAATATGGAATTAACATTATAGTTTTTTAGTTCTACAAATAAAAATAAAATCAAATTTCCTCGCTCCAGCACCCTCCCTCCTCCACCCACCCTTTCCAATTTGACCTCGTTCTTCATAGAAAAATTTTTTCTAATGGCTATGTTAACGTCAAAAAATATTTTTCCTGCAGACTTACAATATATTGTAAAATCATTTTCAAGTCACTGCTATTTTTATTTTTCTCTTCAAAGAATTTTTTTTTTAAAAATCGTGAAAACTTTTGTTAAATTTTATTACCATACTATATGAGGGAAAGAAGAAAATCACTCAGGATTTATGACAACAGCTACATGTATACAATCACTCAAAATGAACCTGGTACACGTGTATGCTCAAACTGATAGTAAATCTCTAGATATGGTTCCCTGAACACCAAGTACTTATAAAATTGAAAGAACAAAACAAGTATATAGAAATAAACATAGACGCTCATTGTTGGTAATAGTAGACGTATGTGAAAAAAATTCTACTGAGCAATGAAGAGATACAGTAATTCGTATACTCTCTGGGTTTTCCCAATAGTTATTAATTCATGAGGACGTAACAAGGATGCAAACGTCAGTAGCTTGTGCCATTAATTTTTATCATTCATCGGTGGTTTATCCTTTAGCTTCGATCTTAATCATCTTTACCCATGGACATCAAGCATTACGCATTGAGCCCACTACCAAAATTGTGAAATTCATGGTCCCAGTGTCAGGTGTTCTAAATTAAAGTAAGAGCGAGTCTCTTCTGATCATATAGTGAAAATGTCCCCTCTCTCCTCTATATGTATATAGCAGATAAACTAAGTGCATGGTAATGTTGAGAAAAGGTGACTTTTCCTAAATTGTGAAAGTTTTGGTCCCAGGTCAGGGGTTCTGATGTAAAGCCGTGACTCCAATGATCATATATTGAAAATGTCTTCTTTTCCCTGTATATTTAGCAGATAATTAAATTAGGTGCATGGTAATGATTTTTAAAGACGCCTCTTCCAAAATTGTGAAATTTGTGATCCTAGGTCGGGGAGAAGGGGGCTCTAATTTATTAAATTCATACATGTATTTAAATTCATATATCAACAGTTATATATTTGTCAATTCAAAATGGAAGCATTTCCACATAGTGTAGTTGATTAATGTTGTCAATCTATCACATAAGACAGATTATTTTGTTCGAAAGATTAAATGAGATAAGCATACCGGTATAATCCCCGTATCCTCATTTACGAGTCGCCCGCGTGGCGCAGTGGTTAGAGCGTTTGCTCTACAGTCGCTGAGTAAGGAGTGGTGGCGTCTCCATATGAGTGAAAAATTATCGAAAGGGACGTTAAACAACAAACAAGCAATCATTTACAAAAAACATTAGGTGAGCGTTTGGACCACAGACCTTTTGATTTATAATTCTTAA